GATAGAAAGATTGAAAACGGAAGAGAGAAGAGGATATCACCCAAGACAAGTTGAAGTATGGTGAATATCCGGCTAGGGTACCTCGGGTTCACCATTCCCGTACTCACAAGTTGTGAGCCCCTGAGGGGATTGCCAGAGCCTCGTTATCAATCCGCGGCCACATAAGCAGATGTTCACAAATTGCCCCATCCTCGCACTCAGATGTCCACAAAACTGTCCCATCTGAGTGATGACAGCAAAGATGTTCCCAAAATGCTCAATCTGCCGAGCAGCCGCGGCTTATCCTCCCCGCACTATGGTGAGGTTGGGCTTTAGGGGAGAAGGAAAAGAGGAGAAGTGACCAAGGGAGGCCGATGAAGAAAAAGATTGGAAACTGAAGAGTGAAGAGGATACCATCAAAGACAAGTTGAAGATTAATGAGTATCCGGGATTGCCATTCCCGTACTCACAAGTCGTGAGCCCCTGAGGGTAGCGCGTCACATAGAGGTCTCTTAGTTCTCGTGTCTACAAACTTGGATACGTTATAAATTAATTTCAGATTACAGTATGCTCTTTTGATACAGTTAGAGACATGTTGACTGAATCTCAATTCGCTATCCATGATGATAGGCCCAGATTCCTTGCTGAATTAACAATTTCTAAACGTTGAGAGTTTATTGATATTTCTAAGTGCTCCTTGAACTGATTTGTATACTTTTTGTTGCCGAATATCAAAATTTGTGATTTAGTAGGGTTAATTGTGAAGCAATGGTCTTTAGAGACTTCATTCAGAGTATCTATATCTGTATTGATAACCATGCTAGCAGCATGGAGATTCGCGTGGTCGAAAGAATGATATATCTGGGTATCATCCGCATAATAATGGGAGTGACAATTCCTCAAGAACGAAGGAATACTGGAAGTGTACAAAGTGAAGAGAAGTGGTCCCAGTATGGAACCTTGCGGTACACCACTGGTAATAATCAAAGTTTCCGATCTATCATCGATTTTAACCGCTTGTGATCGATTTGAAAGATAATTTTTTATCATCTCACATCAGGCACTATAAGTGCTGTGAGTGATAAAGTTTCAAAATTGTTTACCAATACCTCTTTGAAACGTGAAAAAAATAGTAATTTATACACCAAGGTAGTATAGAATATAATAGTATTACACAGGGGCCAAGATTATATCCCGAGGCTTCAGCCGAGGGGTATTAGTTCCCATGGTAAATATTTTCTTTACTACCAAGGTGTATATCACATTTTTTCACCATTAGCAATACATTTCAATCATTTAAGTTCTGAAAAACTGAATTATGAACCTATTGTCATTTTGGAAGCACTTCTTTTCAATTTTAATTAAAATCTAGTAGCCATAATCATCACAGCATATATATGACAACCCATATAGCACTCGACGTTCTGGGGACGTCCATTTTAGGTCCGGGACCTTCTCAAGACGTACTGAAAACGTACATTTCTAGACGTACTGGGTACGTACGATTCCGATGTACTGAGTACGTCCAACTCTGGACGTTATCGACTTTTTGTGGACGGGATTGAATAAATTGTATAATGATAATTGAAATCATTGCATATAATTTATACCCGCGATCTCTCGATCTCTGATATCTATTCATGTATGAACCTTGCAAACATGAACATAATACAATTCTCACAATTATTTTTTTATGCTGGCCGTACCTAATCACAACACATCTATTTAGGTATTCTCTGCCGTGATCATATAATTCTATGAAAGTATCAATGTGAAGGGTCAATCGATATTCGCACATAATCGCTTGATGTATACTGATATATATATTAATAAGTTTTCTGTAGAGTAATAGGTAGTGCATCTGCCCGGTAATCTAAAGGTTCTCTAGGAGCGCATTTATTTAAATTTTTGTTGATTCAGGTATTCATGGTCCTGAATGGACGTACTGGGGATGTACAAATTTGCGAAATCTGGACGTCCCCAGTACGTACCTAGTACGTCTACGGTCCTAATCTGGACGTCCTCAGTACGTACGAAACGTCTTGGCCGGACGTTCTCAATACGTTTTGGGGACGTACTGGTGCTATATGGGAAGTCGTTATTGATACCTACCAGATTCGAGTGCCATTAATGCGAATCTCGCATCTGAACAGTGAATTCGGGTTTATTGAAACCATTGAGTATTTAAAACAGAGGTGGCTATGTCTTTATTGACTAGTGGTTAATGAAGTGACGAAAACTACCTTGCTGGTAAAAACCCACATTACGCCTCGAAAAGGGGTGAGTAATGGTAGGTTTTATAGCTAGTGGTGGAAAAACATCAGTATTGCCCTAACGACGCCACTAGTAATTAAAATCAATGTTTTTATACAAATTGAACCGTCTGTGTCTCGAAATCGAAGCGTCTTAATTACGACCAATGTTTATAGGAACTTATTGTCATTATATTTCCTTTAAAATATCGAAGGTAATACCACAAGTCCTTCAAATATTATCGATATTTTTTTTTTCTACAAAAACTTTTTGCCTCAAATAAAAAAGTTTTGAGTAATGAGAATAAAAAACTGTCGGATAAAATTTGAGGGACAGATCTGAGAAGAAGACGTATTTAACGTGTCAAAGTAATTTTACATACTTCCATATTGTGTTCATTTTAAATGAATTTTGAAGCTCACGCCCGGACATTTTCTGTACACGCGCACTCGGCTCGAACAGATTATTTGTTGAGTCCTATAGACAAATTGTGTTATTTACACCTACATTTGGCAATAGTACACCTTTGGGTATGTTCGGAGGCTACGAGTTTATCGAAATGTGGGCCTATCGAAATGTGGAAGGTGGGTGAATCGAAATGTGGGTCCAACACGACGCAACAGGTCAGATTTGGTATTGCGTTATATTACGTACAATTATTAATCCTTGTAATTAGGTTTCTGCTTAATAATGTTCATAACATAAAGATATTTTACGTATGTCAATAATTTATGCCTATGGTCTTTACTCACGTTTACGTACGGACAGGTACGGATATGGCTGGCAAGTGGCAGTACCTATACCTATACGAACGTATACGTACATGTATTGTATTAAAGGTGTCTACTTCCATCATGATTGTATTGTTTGCTTATCCGCACGTTTACGCGTACACAATGTTTTAAATTTAGAAACCATTTCTTATCGATAGGGCAAGAACAAAATCTTACAGTCAACTCCACCAAAACTATACTTTATTTAACATTGGAATTGGGACATGTTTCAAAGCTTCAATGCTTCATCATCAGCAAAAATTATTTGTTACAGGAAGTACTGTTCTTGGGAAAATATTTCACATGATGAAAAAACAAAATGTAATTTACATATTAAACATTGTTTTAATAAAAATGAAGGGTCCAAAATTGAATGCGGATCACCTTTGTCAAATTATTAATATCATTATAATCAAGGAGCAGTTTGTTTAAGATGTCTTTCTGGAGTCAAAAAATTTCAAACACTGCTCGGCTCGGACTGTCCGACTGGCGACGTCCAAGAAATACGAGTGTGCGTATATCGCAGTGTCAAAGTGTCATCTGCTTTTACATATTAATCATTCCAGAATTACGTCATTTGACAGGTTGCTGAGGGGCAAACACTGTATTCTGTCAAGATTTGTCATATAAAACTTGCAGACGTCAACTAACACATCAGCCCCTCGTGCCAAACAGTGTCGAATGCTTTTTCACAATATCCATCAGGACCATAACCGTGTTTTGATCTTGGTTGAAGGCTTCTTTGATTCCGTGAACAATTCGGGCAACTTAGGACATATATAGAGCTATGTCCCTTTCGAATTGCTCAAGAGGGATCACACTCAGAGGTCTTCTGCAGGAGTGTCAACCATATGAAGAATTGTCTTGTCTATCACTCTGGCTATCATGCTGAGCTAGGCAAAGATATGGGGCGATAGCTACCTGGCAATTTAGGGTTTTATCCTAACTTGATTATGGGTACATAAATTCCAGTTTTTAGGGACTCTGGGTAGTGCTGGGTCCTGACGATGGCATTAATGATATAATGTAATTGTACTGTAGATTTTCGAGGCGTGTTTTTCAGCAGAACCACATTGATCCCGTTCAGGACTAGAGCTTTGATGAGGTTAAACCATCTTATGTTTTGTGCCACCTTCTTGGGGGTGGTGAGAAATCGTCCCAGGACTCGACGAGACAGAGAGATACTAGGGAAATGGCCACCAATCTTAATAGCTCTGCTCTTTCTACGCCACGGTAGTATGAAGGAAGAATTTAGTCGCTGTACCCGCACTTGCCAGCTGATTATATTTGTTATCTCCTGTCTCTAGCCGCTAGTATTCGAACGAAAAAGAGATAACAAATAAGCAACACTGCACTCTCCCCACCATTCTAAAATTTATGGCGAGTATACCTTACTTACAAACTTGATCTTCTATTTGACTTCAACATAAGTCACTTACGTAAGTCCATCTTTCTTTCCTTGAAGTATAGACCCCCCTCCCATGTGACGTGCACCCACTGCATGCGAATAGACACAGGTTCTTTTGTCTGCTTTTCAGTGTCGTGTAAAATGCACTACACTTGGAATAAGCTGATATTTCGTGCAGCTACACAAACGAATATCAAACGAACGAAGAAAATTGGATTGAAGAGAAAAAGTGCAATTTGAATTTTAAAATGCCGTACTTGATGTAACTGATTTCCCAGTATGGGTGTATTTTTATTATAAATATAATCACCGGTGTATTTCGAGTAGATCATCGAGATTTTATCCATTCTTGAATTTGAGTGTAATTCACAACTGCCCAAGACCAGGTGGAGGTCAATGACGGGTTATACCGTCAGACACTCTAGATATTTAGCCGTCATTGTGGAGGTAAACTACACTGGTGTGAAATGCACTTTTCAAACGAATGCTCAAATACGGTGTAAGTCACACAAGTGTACGAATGTACTACACTTTTCGTACAAAAGAAAGGGCCTTTACTTCAAGTTCAAGGCCGAAAACCACTAACCACACTTTTTGATATCAGTGGTTTGATGTTTATGATGGTGAACTGAATATTTCTTTTAATAAATGAATTAGTCTTGGGAAATGTCTCATAGTTACAGAGGAAAATATTTGAGAAATAAACTGCTTCATAATGACTTTTCTACATGACACTATAGTCATATTGGCTTCACAGGTATGATAAGACACAACTTTTGTATACCTAGCAGTACCTAATAAACATACCCAATATCAGGTAACATTTTTTGTGGGAGCATGGATATTCTTCATGAAACAACTATTCAAAGACTACGAAGTACGACATATTATGGTCCAACTTATATTTTCCATTACCTTAACACTATCATGTACCATGTTTGAGCTGATTATATTTGAAATATTGGGTGTTCTTGAATCAAGGTAGGTCTCATAATAATTATGTCACATTTACTTATGTATAGGGTGTTTGATTAAAATTGGCCACCAGCTGTATCTTGTGAAACTCCAGACCGGTGGCCAACTTCAATCAAGCGCCCTGTATATTGTAGGCATTAATTTTTCAGCTCCCGTTTTTTCTACTGGTACTTTATGTTGTATATGCTGCTTTTTGTTGTTATAGTACTGAATCCCTTTTATATTGGATATTATTGCATAAGTAACATTAGATATGGTGAGTTCAAGAATATTATGTTTGTCCATATTTTGATGCAATGCATGTATACCTATTTTATAGTGAAGCCCAACTATGTGGTACGCTTAACAATACTAGTGTGGATCATTTTCCTCATTATATTTTGGAAAATTGGTGATCCCTTTCCAATAATGAATCCTAAGCAAGGTGTCCTATCCATGGAGCAACTTGTTTCCAGAATTGGAGTCATTGGAGTTACAGTTATGGCACTTTTATCAGGATTTGGAGCTGTAAATTATCCTTATACCTCTATGGCCTATTTCATGAGGTATTTGTCATTTGATTCATATTCAATATTACACACAGGGTGATGGTGACCCTTTAGTTGTGACCTCTTTGTGGTGGTACCTACCATGGATTATTTTTGCAGAGAAGTTTCAGAAAGTGATGTTATCAGTTTGGAAAAAAGATTGATGCAAACTATGGATATGATCCTTAATAGGAAAAAGAGAATAGCTATAGCTAAGAGGGAATCTTCTGAAAGAGTTGATGATTCAGTGAATAAGAAGGGTTTTTGGGGTATGCTGTCATCAGTCAGAGTCAACAGAAGTCAGGAAAGTATGTGGATTTGAACCTAATCTCAACATATATACAGGGTGTCCCATTGGGAAACGGAAAAACTTCAACAGTGGGTAGAGCTCATCAAGGTGGTTCTGAATATATCATATTTGTAGGGTCTTGCAAGTTTTATATCTGAGATATAGGGTGTTTTATCAATTTTGTTCAATTCTTTGTGAGGACATAACTTACAAACCACCCAGTATATTCATTTGGAATTTGGTACACAATTTCGCCTTCTTCTACCAAAGCGACTCACCTATCAGTCACGAGAAAAATCCAGGACCGGATCAACTAAAATCGATCATTTATCTGGACCCCAAAAATATCACCCTGTATTTTTGAATTTCCAAAATCCGCTCATATATTTGGAAAGTGCATGAACATCTGATTCGTATGATGTACTTTCCATTTTCCCGCATGCTATTTCACTAGGTAATTTCTGATTTTGAATATGAGGTTTCATGCATTTGGATAGGTAAAAATGAAATGTTTTGAGTTTTCCCAATCGAATAACAAAAACTATCACGAATCACCCAGTATATTCTTTTGGAATTTGGTACACAAGTCCTCCTTCTTCTACCCCAGCGACTCACCTATCAGTCACGATGAAAATCCAAGTCCGGATTAACGCAAAATTATGATCTTCTGGGCCCAAAAAAGAACACCCAGTATTTTCGAATTTCCAAAATCCGATTCAATATTTGGAAAGTTCACAAAGAGATGAATCGAATTGTGTACTTTTCAATATCCCGCATGCTCTTTCACTAATTAATTTCTTATTCTGAAAACTCAAAACTTTTCATCTTTCCTGGATTTCTACCTATCCAAATGCATAAAACCTCAAATTCAAAATCAGAAATTCAGTAGTGAAATAGCAATCGTATGAAAACAAAAAGTAGACAATCCGATTCAGCTTTTTGTGCAATTTTCAAATGTGTATGCATATTATGGAAATTCGAAAATACAGAATACAGAAATATAATCAATTTTCGTTGATTCGGACCTGAATTTTTCTCGTGAATGATAGGTGAGGGGCTTGGGTAGATCAAGGAGAACTCGTGCACCAAATTCCAAAAAAATATACTGGGTGGTTCGTGATAATATTATTCGATTGGGAAAACTCAAAACATAATATTATTTTTACCTATCCAATTGCATAAAACCTCGAATTCAAAATCAGAAATTCCTTTGTAAAATTGCATGTGGGAAAATGAAAACTACATCATTCGGTTCAGCTTTTCGTGTATTTTCCAAATGTGTAAGTGTATTTTGAGAATTCGAAAATACAGGGTGTTCTTTTTGGGGTCCAGAAATATGATCAATTTTCGTTAATCCGGACCTGGATTTTTCTCGTGGATGATAGGTGCGGCGCTTGGGTAGAATAAGGAGAACTCGTGTACCAAAGTCCAAAAGAATATACTGGGTGGTTCGTGATAATTGTTGTTATTTGATTGGGAAAACTCAAAACATATTATTTTTACCTATCCAAATGCATAAAACCTCGAATTCGAAATCAGAAATTCCTTAGTGAAATTGCATGCGGGAAAATGACAAGTATACCATTCGGTTCAGCTTTTTGTGCACTTTCCAAATATGTGAGCGGATTTTGAGAATTCGAAAATACAGGGTGTTCTTTTTGGTGTCCAGAAATATTATCAACTTTTGTTAATCCGGACCTGGATTTTTTTCGTGACTGATAGGTGAGTCGCTTTGGTAGAAAAAGAAGGAATTGTGTACCAAATTGCAAAAGAATATACTAAATGGTTCGTAAGTTATGTCCTCACAAAGAATTGAGCTAAATTGATATAAAACTTGTGAGACCCTACAAATATGGTATATTCAGAACCACCTCGATGAGCTCTACCCACCGTTGAAGTTTTTCCGTTTCCCAATGGGACACCCTGTATATAGGAGATAGAGGAATTACCAGGAATCAAAAACACAGTTTTCTCCACAATTTGAATAGTGATCAAATTACTATGTGATTAAGTGAATAAAATTTTTGGCAAGACATGGAAGAATATTATTAGTTTAAATTTTTTAATCTTTTTTCACATTGTAAAGGGGGTTGTTCGGTTGTTAGGCCCCACAAGGTAGAGAAAAGAAAGTATTAACTGGCAATAGTATTCGTTGATTTTCAGATATTGCACAGCTAAAATTGGAAATTGAAGGTCTGGAAGAACTGAGCAGAACAGTTTTTCTGGAAGTCCACGAAAATCGTAATATGTTAGAAAGAATTGAGTGGTCAAAAACCTGGAAAGGAGTATATTTCAATTTTGTTGGGTACATTTTCTCTGGCTATTGTCTTTGGAAAATTTTCATTGTGAGCACAAAAGTTACTGACTGTATTCAAATTCTTCCTAGACTAATTTTTTTCTTTATAGTGCACAATAAACATTGTATTTGATAGAGTGGGGAAAAAAGACCCAGTGACAAGAGGCATTGAAATAGCAATTCACTGGATGGGTTGGAATTTTGATGTTGCTTTTTGGTCTCAACAAGTTTCATTTTACCTAGTTGGTTGCATGGTAGTCACATCAATCCGTGGATTCATCATAACATTAACAAAGGTGTGTTCTGTTAAAATGGAGATATTATCATCTAGTTATCTAATGATTTTCTTTTCAGTTTTTCAACCGAATATCATCTAGTAAAAGTTCAAATGTAATAGTGTTAATTCTAGCCCAAATCATGGGTATGTACTTTGTATCTTCTGTTCTACTCCTCAGAATGAATATGCCAGTACAATATCGGGCTATAATAACTCAAGTATTAGGTGCCTTACAGTTCAGCTTCTACCACAGATGGTTTGATGTCATATTTCTGGTTAGTGCTTTAGGGAGCATTGTTACTCTTTACTTGGCACATAAGCAGCCAGTTAGAGACAATATGTGATTATAAAGTGAAATACTTTTAAGTTCAATTATTTAATATTTTATGTATGCTTTACACTTATTTGATATTGAGTTTAATTTATTTCAATTTTTATAATTGTTTACATTACTTATTATAATATTGATCAACAATTCTGAATTTTAATAATGAAAAATCTCCTGAAATCATCTTAAACTAGTTTATTGGAATCCTTAATATTGAGAACAATTACATGTTTTATTTTCCTGAAACAAACTTGGATAACCCTTCTAAAAGACCAATATAGGCTGTGTGCTCATATGCTGTGCTGTATTCAGACAACTTTTCCACAAATTCATTTGAGATTCCTTTTTCTTCTAAGTATGTCATCAGGAGATCATACAAGTACTGAAACCAAAAATAATTATTACAAATTAGAAGGATTTTGGTTTCACATACTATTAAAACTATGTATGTTGAAAAAATTCAGGAAAATATGTAGAATTTCTCACCCGTACCGAATCAACAACTTCCCCAGATACTGCATAAACATTTTCATTCCATTCACCATCATAAATGCTGATTTCATCAATACCAAAAATATCATCTGGAAAAGAAATCTTGTTAAAGCCCTCTCATAGAAACATTTTCTCAAACTCACTGTATCCTTCATCTTGTTGATCATTGGGACTGATGAATGAACATGACAAACTCACTGTTGAATTTCCTCTAATCAGGTCAACTTTGAATGATGGTTTTGATTTGAGTTCCCCAAGTTCAGGTTTCTCTGAATTTTCATGCAGTTCAGGTTCTACATCAGTATCCACAGAGTGGTTGACATTAAATATTATTTTAATGCTATAAATTGAAAGGGGATTATTGATCACACTGTTGTGAGGGTTATATAAAACCAGTAACTCACATTTCCTCTTCAATTTTTTTGGTTAAGGTGATTTCAGCTCCATTCAGACTTGCTTCGAAGCCAGCCAATTCTGAAGGAATTGTCTTAACCTTCTGTGCTTTGCGCTCTGCCAGGATCTCCTCTGTGAGAAATTCCACCAGTGCTTTTTCACCTACAATATACAATTTATTGATAAGAATATAAAACATACAGGCTGAATACCTTTGCTATGAACTCCTCTTGTTCTACCACAACCACAACTACATAATTGGCTAAGGGTAGAATTTTTTATTTTTTCATTATGTGATGCACTCATGTGCCACAGACTACGAGCTATTTGCCTCTGTTGATTTGTGCAGGTCACCGATAGTACATTTCTTACAGGATTTAACAAGGTTCTGAAGCCGTTAACGCATAATGCTAGTTTCAACATATTGTTCATATTTCACAAATAATGGTATTTTATTGCCACCGGTCAGATAGAAAACAGGGAGAAGGAAAACGTGCTTGAACTTTTACAACCCGTGAACCCGCACCTCTGAAAATAAAATAGGCTCCGTCTACACAACCGCCGCGGCGGTTGGATACTGATACGTGATACGTGTATAGAATATAAATGTCTCTCGCCAGTTGTTCAAATAGTAGATTGCTGCTGTGTTATCATTGTTGCGCCTGCGGTAAATCTCAAGGTTATCAGAAGATTATAAGGTATTATGAGGAAGGAAAACATCTTCTGCATGAAAAAGCAGCCTACTTTCAACCTTACTCGGCCTAGATGCACCTTTTTCCTGAAAAGTATATTTTCAAAAAATTGTGATAAACAAGCCAACACACGATATATTTTCTTTCTTCATAGATGAAACAAAACCCTCGAGTAGCTTGATAGCTCAGCGTGCTGTCCATCTGACTTCCACGCGATGGCTCGTGTTCAACTACCTCAGAGGAGTTGTATTTTCTTTTCATTTTTTCACACAAGTAATTTTTCGAAAGAATGAAATCTCAGGAAAAATATTCATTCAGGCCGAGAGGTCAGAAGTAGTCTTCTTTTTCATGCAGAAAGATTAATTTAAAACATCTCAGTAGCACGACATGCGTTTTATTCCAAGTAATTTATCGCGATTCCATATATTTTTGGTACGACAGCATATTGGGGTCATGTTACATTTCATTTCTTCCTGATTTTCACTTTTAATTTGACAATTTGATCTGAAAATTGACACTTTTAAGCACACAATAATTGTCACTTTCAATCTGACAATTGTCACTTTTGAACAAATGATTGTCAGTTTAAATTAAGGTTTGGTGGAATAGTGTTCTATGACCACATCACAAATCCACCAGTTGGCGGCAACAGGTTTTTGAATTATTATTAGCATAATTATTAGATTATCAAATTATTTTTCAGAATTTCATCTTTCCAAAACTATTATTGTCCTGTTGATAAATTGATAAATATCTGTGGGTCAAAGGTCAAAATGGGTGATTGCATTACATGAATGTATGTAGCATTCATGCATTAGTAATTTCTGGTTTATCTCATTCATTACATGTTCATTACCTAGATTACATAAACGGTAGTTATATTTGAGGTTAATATCATAAAAGTGGGCATCTGGCTAATAAAATGGGGCCTTTGGTAGGCGCTATTGACGAAGGGACTTCAAGTGCACGGTTCATTTTATTCAAAGCGGGAACTGCAGAAATAGTGGCCTCCCATCAACAAGAGTTGCCACAAATTCATCCCCAAGAAGGATGGGTGGAGCAAGACCCTATGGAAATCATCAGTTGCGTCCAGACCTGTATTGAAAACACCATAGACAAGCTCATTGCAAAAGGAGGAAGTGTGAACGATATTGTATCTGTTGGAGTCACAAATCAAAGAGAATCCACAGTATTATGGGATAAAACAACTGGAGAACCATTGTATAACTCCATTGTTTGGCTGGACGTTAGGACTTCTACAACTGTCGACGTTCTCCTTGACAGAGTACCCAATAAATCAAGGAATAAGAATTACTTGAAGCCCTTATGTGGTTTACCTTTGTCTCCATATTTCAGTGCTGTGAAGATAAAATGGTTACAGGACAACATTCCGAAAGTCAAAAAAGCCATGGAAACTGGAAACTGCCTGTTTGGCACCATAGATTCTTGGTTAATATGGAACTTGACTGGAGGAAAAAATGGAGGAATCCATATAACTGACCCTACCAATGCATCAAGGACAATGTTAATGAACATTGAGACATTGAAATGGGATCCTGTACTCATCAATTTCTTTGAAATCCCCAGCAATATATTACCTACTATCAAATCAAGCTCTGAAGTGTATGGAACCATTGCTGAGGGGTCTCTGAGGGGTGTCAAAGTAGCTGGTTGTCTTGGTGATCAACAGTCAGCACTTGTTGGTCAACAGTGTCTCAATAGAGGACAGGTAAATAAGTAAATATGGGGTAAATGAATGATTGAGAAGTCATTATTATTCACTTCAGTCAGAGATTATACAGTGTATAATCTCTGCTTCAGTTATCAGAATAGGGACCATCAATAATCTAATCAAATTTGCTATAGGTATTGATTCATCTCTGGTACCTACTTCAATTTTTCCATGAACTTTCTCCTATTATTTAGTAGTTTTATGAATGAAATAATTATTCATTAATGATATCCTAATAAGTGTATATATTATGTGTATCAGTGTACTAAAATGATACAGGGTGTGCCTAAAAGATCTTTACAAAAACTTATACCACATATTCTTCAGACCAAAACAATAGAGCAATGTCTGCTTACGTCACAATATGGCGCACTCATCGAATTCTTCAGCTGATCGGGAGACAAACAAAGCTGTGTGTGAATTTTGATTTTATTATTTCTGACCCATTGGTGATTTTTTTGAACTTGTAGATATTATACAAGGAGAATGTGTACATTTTCTTCCAAAATGAGTATCTATTGAGGGATATTAGGAGGTATATTAGGTATATTAGAGCTGAACTCAAGTAAAATCCAGTAATTCAAAATTGACAAATAAACCAATTTGAACTCTTCTTTGGGCTCATTCACTTCTCTCACAGGATTCATGATGAATGAATTAACAAACATGTCAATAAATAAATGCTCCAGGTATTGTATTTTAGTGGTAAATGTGCAAGAAAGTTACATGTAGCCTTATGGGAAATGTGTATGCTTGCCCCCCCCCCCCCATCAGCTGTTCAATGGCCGACAATTTTACGTCATAGGACGTCACTGACAATGCATTATTCCATACAAGAAAACTTACCTCAGTACAAAGTTGCTTAGTTTGGGCGCTAGATGGCTCTGAACTCAGCCTGAAGTTACAATTTGGTATGCTGGCAAAGCTTGGGCAATAATGCAATAAATAATAAATTATCAAATTTGTTTTGTGATTCCTTTATTTTTTGAGGTTAGGTTGTGGAACTCCACTTGAATTCGTAAACCTTTTAGTGATAGGTACGAAATTAGCTGAAATTGAATGAAATATTATGAGAACTCATGAAATAACTGCCACTTGCACTCAAGTCAAGTCAAGGCTATATAAAAGTAGACCAAAAATGTTAACATCATCTTGGTCATCATACTATTTTAGTCTGGTACACAACAATAAATTTCAGTACCAAACCAAGCTGGTAACTTTACCAAGTATACAGTTTATACCACACTGACCAAAAGTATTTAGTCAAGATATAGTCATTAGTCATCTAACCAAGACACGGTATCTATAAACGACGTGGCCCATATCATGATCATGATGGATTGATGGATATAATATTCCATGGGCGTAGAACTTGATTTTTTCAGTAAATAAACATCTCAAAACTTCTACGCCAATGGGAAGCTAGGTGTTTGAATATACAATTTGGATTGTATAACTTGTTTACTACAAAAAAGGTAGGTAGTTTTGGGCTTGACTGATGTTTTGAATAACTAAAATTTAAAATTATAATTTTGTCAAAACCATGAGAGTAATCAAATTTCATCAAGAGTGCATTTTTTGTAGAAAATAAGTTATGAAATCCAAATTTCATATTCAAATCCCTTTCTTTTTATTGGCGTAGAAGTTTTAGATGTCTATTTCCACAAAAAAAAGTTTACCCCATCATGATTATATGGTATGGGTATTATTTGCCCAATAAAGCTATGTCAATGTAGCAATTTAGGAAAAATCTCATGAGCTGTCTAGCGCCCATACTAAGCAACTTTGAACTGAGGTAAGATTTTGAAAAGGAATATTCTCAGATATAATTATGAACATAAATAACATTTATATACAGGGTGGGGCATTGGTGCGTCGGAGCTCGATTGCTCGAGTTCTATGATAGCTAGAAACCTGATTCAAAAACGAATGTTTATGAGATAACAAGGTCCATAACTAGAAATTATTGCCGCATATACAGGGCGCACCGAAAATAATCTAGAGGGTCGGGATCAATTTTTTTATTTGGATTGCCCAGTATATTTGCATATTTTTTGAAGCATCCCTGTGATCTTCATCCACTCCTATAATATCGTTGACTATATCTCTTTCGTATCAAAGTTATGAATTTTTTGTTCGAAATATTGTCATCTGCAGATGCCTACCGAAAATATCACTGTTGTCACAATTATAAACTTTGAGAAAAAATAATCTCAATATCATTTATTGAAAAGATGAGTGACATTTCTGAAAATGTTTCAGGCTCTCAAATGATATAGGGTGGCTGAAAATGATTTTTCAATTCGGACCTTTTCGAAGTGATTTTTCTCGAGTTTTTCAAATATTATTTAACCATTTGATGTAAAATCTAAACACGAACATATTCGAACATCCATATTGATATTCGCAACCATTTTTGAATTTCTGAACTTTCAAAAATTTTAGGTTGGCCATTTTCATCAATACACATTCTAATCTGTTATTGAAACATCAAAAGTTCAATCAACAATTTAGAAAGTCAATTTTTTATTGAAAGAATCGATGTTAGAACCAAAGCAGACATGAATAGGTCATAACTATGCTAAATATTTTCAAAGTAAGGACGGAAAAAATTTCATTTCTCAATTATTCTGGTTTTGCTTTCAATGTGCCATGAATTTATTTGATACTTGAGAAATGCAAATTTTGTCTCTTTTTACTTTGTGAATAACTAGCATATGCACTTTTTCTGTTTGCTTCGATTCTGGTATCGATTCTTTCTTTGATGTTTTAATGACAGATAGGAATTTGAATCGATCAAAATCGCCAACCTATAATTTTCAAAGTTCAAAAATGGTTATGAATATCGATATGGATGTTCAGATAAATATGTTAGTGTTTCTATTTTATATCAAATGGTCAAAAAATATATGGGGTGTTCCATTTGAAAAACTCGTGAAAAATCACTTTGAAAAGTTCCGAATTGAAAAATCATTTTCAGCCACCCTGTATCATTTGAGGGCCTGAAACATTTTCAGAAATGATATTGAGATGATATTTTCGGTAGGCATCTGCAGATGACATTATTTCGACAAAAAATTACTAACTTTGATATAAACGAGATATTGTCAACGATATCATAGGAGTGGATGAAGGTCACAGGGATGCTTGAAAAAATATGCAAATATACAGGGCATTCCATTTAAAAAGATGATCCCGACCCTCTGGATTATTTTTGGTGCGCCCTGTATATGCGGCAATAATTTCTAGTTATGGACCTTATTGTCTCATTACATTCGTTTTTCAATCAGGTTTCTAGCTATCGATCATAGATATCCATCAGCAATCGAGCTCCGACGCACTAATGCCCTATATACCTATATATTGTTGTTGTATATAGATAAATACTTTGAGAATTCATATTCGCTATGTGATGAAAATATCAATTCTTTCTCGGTTTATTCAACAGAAAACAACTACTTTCCTCCTATATATAGATATAATTCAATGTTCGTCGTGGCATATAGCCAGGAAAGTAGTTGTTTTCTGTTGAATAAACCGAGAAAGAATTGATGTTTTCATCACATAGAGAATGTGAATTCTCAACGTATTTCTTTTATTCATGTTCATAATTATTTCTGAGAATATTCCTTTTCAATACTTTCACCCAATCTAGGGGTTCAAACTTGAAAGATGAAAGCTTGTTATTTTTTTATAGACCTTTAATCGCAGATTCGTGATTAGGTTTTCTCAATTCTGAATTTCTTTCCACGTTCTGTATGATGAATATCCGAGTGAATATCAATTTATCATAAATCAAAAAAAAAAAAAAAATGAGGTGAAGTTGCGGCTTGTATTGAATCGTTGTGATCTCAGGAATACGACGTGGTAAGTTTCCGTAAAGACCTTTTAGGGACACCCTGTATATACTGGGTGATTTTCCAAGGTGGCTGACCCCAATAACTTTTTTATTATTGGAATTGGCATACTTCCGGTTTGTCAGAAAATGACCCCAACTTTCGATTTTTAAATGTGACACCCTGTATTTTATTTCATGATCGTTTAGGGATTAGCATGAAGAAGTCAATGGTACTGGTTTTGATAGGTTCATTTCCAATGGTCATGAAGATATTTGCATTCAAAGTTTCCATAAGCTCAATGAGTGTGACAGAGAAAGAATAATAATAATAAAAAAGTTTTAGGGGTAAGCCACCTTGGAAAATCATCCAGTATAAGGTCTGCAGGGGTTCAGCAAAAATCATATTGACGGCGTGATTTTGGAAGGATTTTGAAAACTTTTTTCTCACATAGTATCTCTGCAAGTACTGGAAGAACAGTATATCTCAATCAAGTTATACAGGGTGTCACCGAAAGGTCTGTACAAAATTTTAGGCCGATATTCCTGAGGTCAAAGCCGATTTGAAGCACCTTACCTCAGTTCGAAATTGCTCCGTTCCCGAGATACAGGGTGGTGAAGATATTTTGAAAAATCCATTTTTGCACTGCGAATTCACTGACCAAATTACATCCAAGAAGATAACAGCAAACATTTTTTGTTCAAAATAATTGAAATATTCCGGTGCTGCATCAAATATTAAAAACCGTAATATCTCGATATCTGCTCACTTTAGCGGATTATCGCAAGTGTATCTTTTTTGCATAAAAATATGCAGAACAGCTACACTCTACACTGACAGGACAGTTATGACCATTCTAACTCTAACCCATAAGAAGTCTATAGGTAAGAGCCCTGCTCTAATGGCCACAGTGAAAAGATTCCCCTATTCTTGATTCGCATCCCAAAAATCCCCAAATATCAAATTTTGAAGTAATACGTCTCAAAATGTTCATAAATTCTGAGGAATTCAGTTTTTATTCCATAACGTTACCACCCTGTATCTCGGAAACGGAGCAATTTCCGTCAGGAATATGTGCTGTTATTTTGTTCAGACCTTTCAGGGACATCCTGTAAGATATTTGCCAATTTAGGCGGCTCGGTGGTCGAGACTCGAGAGCGT